GACTAAAAGAACTTTTCCCATTTCCAGCACAAGAACTGGTTCACAAGAATATGCTGCAGGAGTTTGCTCAATATGCAACAACTAGGATTATTTTAGACTGTACAGAACTGTTTATATTTTTTCTGTGAATAATAATGTTAATTATTGTCAATGGGCTCACAAAAGGTTATGTTTGAAGAATAGAATTATGAAGCTCCTTCCCATAAAGACATAGTTTAACTCGCATTTTATTGTCATGCCAATCACTTCCCTTATTTACACAATGTACAATGGTACCTTATCTTGATTTTGCAAGCCCAACATCATCTTTTTTCCCTGAGTACTGACAAACTTTATATTAATATTTCTTAATGTAAGGAAAGATTACACCTAAATCAATTTGAGCATTAAATTTGAGCTGGTGAAGGTGAAGCAGCATTGACAGTTGACACAGGTGCTTTAACTTCTTGGTGAAATAATTCCTGTTCAACTTCAAATGACTCTCCTTCAGTTGTCACAGTTGCTACCGGGACCCTTTTAGCAGGCATTTTCCCTAGTTTTTTTGGTACTGACCAGTTAAATCGAGATGTTTGTGCCTCTATATATAATAATAAAACTTATCATTTTATAAATTTATAATTTTACATTCAGTTCACAAATATCGTATAAGACCACAGTGCACAAAGAAATATAAATGTCACCTTTTTAATAAGGAGAAAACAATCTCAACATAAACACTACAATACCAAAAATCAAAGCAGGCATTTTCTTTCGGTATCCAAGCAACAAAACAACCGTACAAACATTATAAACCTTTCACCGATTTCCAGCGACCTGCCTACGTTTTTTCGCATGACTTCTTTTTTGAAATGTTCTGAGCACAAAAAAGTTGATTTTGTGATGAAGAATCCGTCCTTTGCATGCTGGCGATTCAAGAGATTGCACCATCTGATTCGCTGCTGGACATCATTCGGAAACGAGAAGAAATGCAGACCTGTTGGATTGCCTGTTGTGTCATAATAGCTATTAGCACAACCAAAAAGCGGCACAGTGTCTTCCTCTTCTTTTCGAAGAAGGTGGAATATCCTCCGTAGGGAAAGTATCGTTCATTGTCGAAATATCTCGATGAAAAGGACAGAGCACCACCACATTTCACTAAACTCTTACTAGAACTCGCAACACGACTCAAAACTAACCTCGCTATTATGTTTGCGCGGTTACACATCCAATATGGCGCCGGGAACTGTAAAAAGGGCTATTAGACATCGCAACCACTTATGGAAAATATTTACACGAGAAAACACTGATGCTAATCTTTCAGCTTACAAATTCCAGAGGAACGCATGCACATCTCTTAGGCGTAAGGCTATAAAGGGCTATTTAAGGAAGAGATCAGAAGAACTAAATCAAGATCCGCCCCAGTTTTGGAACGTTTATCGACCCTTTCTCCACTCCAAGCGTACTAGTACGGCCAACGATATTATTCTGCAGAAGGATGGACTAATAATAACTGACAAACGGCAGATTGCCAGCATCTTCAATGACTATTTCATAAATACTGCTAAACACATTGACGCTCCACGTTGTTATGACCATGGAAGAGATTTTACAAATCACCCGAGCGTGAAGGCAATTACAGAGAGCGTCAAAGGTGTTGGTATGTCGGGTTTCGGCATATCCTTGTCAACTTCTGCCTCCGTTCAAAAACTGCTGCGGGATATTAAAGTGAAAAAATCACCAGGTCATGACAGCATTACTCTCAGATTACTTAAGGAATCGGCAGCAGTCATTGCTTCTCCACTCACCAGTATTTTTAATTCATCTATTATACAGTGTAAGTATCCGTCAGTATGGAAAATGGGACAAGTACCAAAAAATACTGAGGAGGATATGAATAAGCAGTGTTTTCGACCTGTCACCGTTCTCCCAGCCTCCCACCGTTCTCCAACATCTATGAGAGGCTCCTTTCGTCGCAGTCACTCCATCATTTCCAGAGCCTTCTCTCTGATTTTCTCAGCCTACACACGGTTTTATAGCTGCAATACGACGCTGTTACGCCTTGTTGGGGACTGGAAGGAATGTCTGGATCGCGGGCACCTTGTAGCTTTTGTAATAATGGACTTATCAAAGGCTTTTGATAGCCTCCCCACGATCTTCTCATTGGTAAATGGCAAGCGTACGGCTTAGATACACAGGGTTGTGCTTTATGTAAAGACTACCTTCAGCATAGGCAACAGAGGGTAAAATTTGGCGATGAGTTTTCCAGGTGGGAGCATAATTATAGAGGTGTGCCACAGGAAAGTGTCCTAGGACCCTTACTTTTTAACATATTCTTAATGATATTTTCTATTTATTACAAAGGTTAAGCTTAATGCATACGCTGATGATCAGCAATTATATAGCTCGGATACGGATCACCTTGCCCTGTATGATAGGATGAATAGTGAACTATCGATTGCTGTCGATTGGTTTAGGAATAACGGTCTTATGGTCAATCCAAGTAAATTTTATTCTCTCGTACTCGCAGAAACTGATCTTAATTTTTGATTTATAGTTGATGGGGTGAGAATCGAGTAGCATGATGATATAGATCTACTAGGAATTAACATTGACTCAAAACTTAGTTTTTCGAAGCATGTATCCCATATATACGATAGGGTCAATAACCAGTCTAGGGTCATTGGTCGTTTTGGAAATCTTCTCTCTGGATCCATAAGGTTGCGTTTATACAAGGCATTTATACAACCTATCTTTCAGTACTGTAGTGCTGTATGGCATTATTGTGGAGCACGGAATTCTAATAGGCCCGGCAGAGATAGTAAATAAGCGAGTGCTTCGCCTAGTCCTCGGAGACAGATCAAGTTCGTATTCAGCTTTACTGAACAGGCTTGATATGGTATCACTAAAAGATAAAAGAGTCCAGGACATATTAACTATGGTTTACAAGGACATATTAACTATGGACATAGTAGAAAAAACAAGGACATATTAACAGGACATATTAACTATGCTTTACAACATGCATGGCTCCTGGGTATATCACATCACTTATCAAAGAGCGCAGTCAAAGTGCATATGATTTAAGGGGTAAAAGGAAATTACAGATACCAGCGGTGAAGACCACAACTTTTGGACTTCACTCTTTCAGGCATCTTACTGCCTCTGCATGGAATAGCTTATCAGATGCATTAAGAATGTCAGACACTCTAGCAGCCTTTAAACGTGCCATTAGGAGTTATATATCTAGTGGAGATTAGTATATAATTATTAGCATTTTTATATGAGGTTTTATATGAGTCTTTCGATTTTAAACCTATTGTCATTTGTTTGTAGTCATTTGTTTGTAGTTATATGTTCGGAGATACTAGCACATCTAGTGCTATTCATAAATCCGAATGGAAATAAAGTTTATGTATGTATGTACCCGTACGCAATACAATGTCTAACCATGATGAGAACACGCTGTATCCTTACGAAAATGAATAAAAATGCCTCCAAACATAGCCGTTTGCTTCGATTTTACTTGAAAGCTTTACCTGTGTGACCCGATAGCCTCGTTTCGAAACTTCAAAGTCCGCTGAGCTCTCATACAGTGGGCGTAAATGCGATAAGGGCTATTGCGCTAATTAGTGTGTGAATAGGAGACAATCGCGTTAATCAGTGGGATCATGGCGTTCATTAGAATTCTTTGTACTACGTGATCCTTTTGTACTATTTGCGATCGGCCATTTTCGTATACATTAGTTATAGTTTAGCATTTTATTCGTATTAGGTTTTTTTTTCATTCGTCGGAGAGTGTGGTTCGCTTAAGGTTTGGTTTTGTAATCGAGTGAAATAGAATAAAATGTATTTCTGGTAAACACCGCATGACCTCCTCCTCGCCAAGCTGGCTGCCTACGGTGTTTCTCCAGTCAACCTGCCCTGCCCCTCCTACACAGTTACCTTAGAGATAGGTCCCAGCGTGTCCGTATAGAAGATGTAACTTCTGATGTTGTTGTTTTTTCTAAGGGTGTACCCCAGGAATTGGGATCTGTTCTATCATTTTATTAAGCGTGCTAATTTGTCTAATTATGCTGATGATAACCAAATTTATTTTAGTAATCGCGATCCTGAGGTGGTAAATTCCGTAATTAATGGCGATTTCACTGTTGCAAGTCGTTGGTTTGTCGACAATAAGCTAGTGCTCAACCCCGAGAAATGTATGTGTATTATTCTTCCAAAAAGCTATCATTGTGATCTTTCCTTTAGTATTAATGATGTACAGGTTCCTATTGTAGACCATTTTAGGCGTAACTATCGATAACTCACTAAATTTTAGTAAACACATCGGAAAGATTACTAAGAAAGTTGGAAATCAGTTAGATGTTTTGAGCAAGCTAAAGAACACGCTCTCAGTTTCTTCGAAGATGCGCCTCTATAAATCGTATGTGATGTCTTATTTCACTTACTGTTCTGCGATTTGGCATAATTGCAATGAGTCTGAAAAGCAGAAGCTGGAAAAGCTTAATGTGGTAGCTCTAAAGTGTGTCTACAAGAAACGGGTGCCCCTTTATGGTGATGACTACGGCTTAACTTTGTCCAATCATCGTCTATAGGACATTGCCATATTAACTTTTAAACCTGTAAACGGTATGTTACTTGGATATACAAGTGACTTGTTCGTTGTAGGTAATAATGTGAAGTGCTTGAGAGGCACCAACAAGCTTGTTGTCCCTTATAAAAAAACTACAAACTTCGGCTTAAAATCTACAACTTTTATTGGTGCCAAAGTGTGGGACTCTTTACCGGATGAATTACGTTCAATGGCAACCCTTAAGGAGTTTAAGAATGCTATAAGAGAGTTAAATTTGTAATGTAATAATCTTAAGATTTTTAGAATGTTAGTTATTAATTGATTATGTAATGTCCTGTAAATTTTTTTTTTTATAATTTTTATACTTTGCTCGGCATATTGTTTTGCTAGGGGCCTAATCAGCCTCAACAACCCGAGTTGAAATAACGTTACCTACCTAACTACTCACCTTACATCTCACTTGACGACTGCATGGAGTGAGAAAAGTTAAGTCATATCTTGCGGCGTAGTCGAGGTATTCTTTTGGTGTATTATCATAATAATATCCCCTGAATATGTCCTCAATGAAATTCACGCCTTCTTGAAAAGCAACCCTCCAATGATTTCCTTCCTCTGACGATTGAAACATTGCTGATGCATCATCTATGCTCCAGTCTCCTTTCTCAATGTCCTCTATAACGTAAAACAAAGATTCTCTAAGCATAAGTTCTAATCCAACCGAAAATCATTGCTCATTTAAATATCTCTGAATTTGGTTCTCCACTATATATGGAAGTAAGTATTTTTCCGTGAACTAGAACACTAGTCAATACGACTACTACATCCGGAAACCTGGTGTGGTATTATTCGTTTATAACATGAGTGGCGATATTCCGCAACGGAGTCGCAATTCCCGCTTTTTCAAAATTTTGTTGAATGAATTCGGTTTTTCGTTGTAAGTATCTGATAATTTAAGTCAGAGTCTGTAATTGTATTTCCATTAAACTTGTAATACCAGTTAACATGTCTTTTGGTCTGACTGACGGTGTTGCATGTGAGCCTTTTTACAATTTTGGCGCCGGGTATCTTGTTTCCATTGATACGCAGTATTGAAAGAAAAGCCAGCTTTTCAATCTCTATCATGTATGTTTTTTATCCATATAATTTAAAAAATATGACGCGTTAGCTCAAAGACATGAATTTTATGTTGCTGTGGTATGAACAATATTTCACTCGTAAGATACTGTTATTGCAACTCGAAGATAAAATTCATATCTTCTCGCCACCGAGTAACATCTTCTATTGCTCCGTGAATGTGAGATCCATAGAGGCGAAAGGTGTTCCTTTGATTTGTCACATCCACGGAGCATGATCGTTATTGTTATGTTAAGTTCTTCTACCCAATAATAACATCAAAATATCTTCTTAGTTTTGTATTACCGTTCCAAGGATAACAAAAACGTCGTTTGACTCCTTTAACTATTACTTTCCTGAGAGGCTTATCGTTCACCTAGGTGATGTCTAGCCGTAACTTAATGATATAAATAACTACTGATTTTCTGAAATTCATCGGCGTAAATAAGAATTGTTCATCCTTTGCGATCCTTAATTCAACTGGTTGCTTAAAAAAAGGTAAAAATGCTATCAGGTTGTGCAGGTGTAAACTAATCATTGCCTCCCTACTATACGTTCGATTTTCCTGGCACACTGTGATCAGATATGCAATTAGCCTAGCTTTTTTTTAGGATAATATAGTCCAAAAATTATCATTATGAATAAAAGATCCTTTTGACATGTGCTATCAGATGTCAGGTGTTACCTTCACTCGGCCCACGAATCTTGGCCAATCCAAAATGACACCACATGTCAGCTTCTAACTGGTTGCTTGAATCCTTTTCAGCATTCAGTTTCCGCAATGTTTCCAACGTGGCGTCATGAAGTTTTGATAAATAACTTGAGTCACTCACACATACCTATCCACAGAAATATGCATGTGAAAGTTATATGTCTATCATCTTGCTATTTCACTTAACACTATTCTCTAGCGATGATACTTTTTAAGTAAACTTCTTAACAAACTGAAGTTTTGCTTTGCCTTCAGATATTCACAGCTTGAAGGTTTTATCAAGTATTAATATTAAAATTGAGTAACCTAGGAATAATTTAAGGCTAATAAAATGTATTGATATTTTTACGGTCCAAAAATATATATGTAAGTGTTCTATTGCGTTTATCACTTTCTGCGTAACATCGACAAATCCCAAGGAAGAGAAATTTAGCGCCCTTGCTAGGATCACCTACCACGAGCTGATTATTGTTAGTTATGAAGGAGGCTTTGACCAGTCAGAGCGTGTGCAACTCTCTAATCACCGGAGCAATTATAGTGAAAACAATTGCAAACCTGTTGGCTGGATTCTCTTGAAGATTGTAATCGAAACTGCGCCTGCGAGCTAGGGAGCACCAAACAATCTTCTTCTGAAACTCGCTCCAGCTTCAGTTTACAGTTCTCGGAAATATTCCAACCGTCAATGAAACAGCAGACTGTAACACTGTTGTTTTCTAAGCCCCTGAGTCTTGCTAAAGCCTGAAAATGATGTGCGCCTTTGTAAGCTTTCAATCCGTTTCAGTCAGAGAAAGACAATTGAGGGTGATTGTCAAATGTTATCTTTAGTAAACATCTGCCTATATGATATACGTGGTATACGTAGAGACAGACAAAAAAATAAAAAGCGAATAAGGCAGAGAGGAAAAAACGCACATGCATCGTTAGACCTTGAGGAAAATCTTCTCTGCCACTCAGATAGCGGCAATAAAAGTGACTTTGTTCGAAAGCCAAATTACGCTACACAAAAGGTAAGTAATGAAACGTGTGCTGCGAGCTAAGGAGCACAAACCAGTAAGATAAGTAAAGAAATGTGTACTGAGATTTCTGTATTAAACTCTCTTTAAAACCAATGTATGTATATTTTTTCACTCTAACTTGCTAAAATATCCGCTTTCCGGTACCTTCACAATAAAACCGTTATAGGCTGTCAAGCTTAAAATAGCTGTTCGGGAAAGGGCCAATTTGCAAGTTGCTATTGCTTGAAACTTGTCATTTTGTGTGGGCACGTGCAATAATTCAGAATGGTACACGTGCAAAAATATCCATAACACGCACAAAAAAACACAATTGCACATTGCGAGAAAAAGGATAAGGACATTGTCATAACAAAGTTTATTTCTTGTAGGATAAATAAGAAGAAAAGAGAGTTGAGAACTTTTTTTACCCTGCGAAACTGGTGATTTGAGAGCACTTTATTTGAGGAGTTGAGTGGTACAATTACAGTTAGGCTCCTGTATTAGTTTTCACGGCTGCCTTCAGGTTACCGTACACCTTCAGTGGTGTCTCGCGTGCAAGCGATGTAGCGCGTCCGGTTTAAACTGTAGATGTTTAAACCCTATATCAAATTAAAGCTTATAAAAGTGGCTATCAGACTATACCAAAAATTTTGAAAAACAATTTATTGTCGAATTTTTCACGACTTCTAAATGCGAACGCTCGAATCACCTTTTGAAAGTTACATGTTAAAGAGAATTTTGTTTTTCGCTTATTTAACGTGTTCCCCCGTTTCCGGGGCCAAAGCGCTAAAAAAAAACGTGTCTGTGATTTGCCATATTCAATTTCAGTGAAAAGCTACAGAACATTTTTGAAATAGGATTAAAAAAATGTGGAGTGATCGTACAAAAATCGCTCTTGAAAAAAAGTTTTAGAAATAAGAAATTCGGAGACACGTTTTTGTTGTTTAATATAAAACTAGCTACTGTCAAAATTTGAGAGCAATCAAACAAATTCCCTTTGACCTGTAGCTCTTAAACGGTGATTCAGGCGCTCGCATTTAGAAGTTGTGAAAGATTCGACAATTCATTTTTTTTCAAAATGTTTGGTATAGCCTGATAGCCAGGCCTATTAGCTTTAATTTGATATAGGGGTTTAGATATCTACAGTTTAAACCGGACGCGCTACATCGCATGCACGCGAGACACCCCTGAAGGTGCGAGATTACCTTAGCTCTTCACTGGGCGCAAAAATAAAAAGCTTCGCAAGCTGAAAAGCGACTCAAAACTTATTTGTTAAGGTGAAACTAACATTTATCCAAACTACCTACCACTTTGAGTTTGATACGCAATTTTACATGGTCCCTTTGTTGCTTGGTTCCCTTTGTAATATGCACCTCTCTTCTTATACGAGTTACTACTGCTCCTGTTTCTTTGTTTATCTCGGAAAGGTTAGCTCCGCGCTTTCCAATCACCAAACCTTTGTATTCGGTTGGAATCTCCACTTCCTCCCACTCTGTTATCTCTATTTCCTCCTATGAAGTAAAGAGGGGTTTTTACTTGCAGCTCGCCTGTAAAGAGATCTAAACTAAACAGCATTCGTAGTTTAATCATGGACATAGTCAACTCCGTTCATGAAAAATATAAAACACTGCAATTACCTTCTAACCATCTAATCAGGAAAGGATTCAGGCTATAGAAACTGTACTAATAAGGTTATCACATTAAACATTCCTTAGTTCTGATTGGTTAAGATAAATGCAGTTTTCAGGTAATTCAGTGCAGAAGAGAGTTAATTCAGTGCAGAAGAAGGTGAATTCAGTGCAGAAGAGGGTTAATTCAGTGCAAAGAGAGTAACAAACCAGACGGTCTGATTGGTCAATGTCAATGTCAATATCGATGTCAAGGTCAATGTCAAGGTCAATGTCACTTGCAAGGTTTGAATAAATCATTTTTGCATGTGATGCGCGCACTTTTCTTCTGCATAATTATGATAAGCTACCTCATATTTTAATGTATATTATTAATACACGATCACATGACTTTTCTCGTGCAATTTGGAATAAATAAGCACTTTTAAGTATTTTCAAAGACCATGTGGGCTACGGGCTCATGCTACGGGCTCATGCCCTATGGGTTCATGCAATTTTGATAGTCTGAAAAAATTTACTCCTGCTTGTTTATTCCAAATTGCACTCGAAATCATGTGATTACCAACACAACATATTAATTTACCACTTTTTCTAAAATAAGTCTTTTTGCAGTTTCCCTCTGCTGGTAATCTCCAATAATAGTAAATCCTTCTTCTTCTTTAAATCTGGATGTAATTATTGCTCCGGATCTCTGCCTTATGTTATTCAACACGCATCCGTCCCTTCCAATGACGCGACTCTTGAATTCTCGGGATACCGGCACATATTCACTATCCATTTCCAGCCTCTCTTCTTGTGGGACTCAACTGATAATCTGAAAACCACGCAGAACAACTCTCATAAACTGACAATTCTTGTAGCCTCAGGCAATAGAAGGCTTCTTTGCGACAAAATCAAAAATTAAATGAAGAAAACAATTTAAAAAAAACAATAAGAAAGTTTTCGAAACGTGTTTCCTAAGCGTCATAATCATTGCACTAATTTTCAAGATTAATACGTAACTATTTGATCAACGTGCGGTCTCGCGTAAAAGTAAAACTCTGATCCAGCTATAAAACTGGGAGAAAATCCACAAAAAACAGCAATTACCTATCTAAATCAGGGTTAAAGCAACAAGTACTGTTTATTTGGTGACTATGTTCTCACAATCAATCTCTGTCCTATTGATAGCAACACTATGAGTGAGAAATGACTACAAAATAACCAACATGTACTTTACTATGTCTCAATGTATTTCGAAACCGTGATCAGATACGAAGCGGAGTTTCAAGTCCTCCCTCAAGAAGTTAGCTTCAACTTTTTAAATGACTCACTGAATGATTCAGAGGGTAGCAACAGCAACATCGGCGATGAAGCTAATGATTCGCTATTAGATAATCTATGGAAACACAGACAAGCATCCGTCTACACGAGCAATTTTTATGTGGCAACTGTATGTGGCAATTTTTATTTGCCCGTGTAGATTGCTCGACAAATATTTATTGTCAATTTGCGTCAATAATAATTTCGCACAGCGGAGATGCTCATGGAAAGGAAAAAAGCAAGATGACGAAAGTCAGAAGACGTGGCAGACGTCTTGTAGCTTTAGGCGCGTTTGTAGTGATGACAATGGTGCATAGAATAGAAAAGAGCAACAGAAAGCGGAGAAAATGTTGGGTGAAGGCATGGAAGAGAAGAGAGGCGCCAGGACTTGCGACCAACTTGGTGAAGGAATTGAGTGAAACGGACATCTACGTTTTTCACAACTTCTTCCGGTAGGATCTTTCCTCTTTTTTCACTTCCATTTGTCATGTACAAAACGATCTTATTGTCGCAGTGAGAATTCATAATTTAAATTCACAAGTTTACATTCCTGACATAAGTCTTTTATTTGATTGTGACCTCTTGCAGGATGGACACTATATTGTTTGATGAGCTTTATGAAAAAGTGAGGCCTGTAATTGAAAAGAAGAACACTAACACGAGGGATGCAATATCCGCTCATGAAAGGTTATCTGTTACTTTAAGGTTTTTAGCATCTGCAGTTCTTATGGAGATCTTATATATAGCTTCACAATCTCCACTTCAGCTATTTAAAAAATCATCCCCGAAGTATGTGAAGCTATTTACAATGTCCTGAAAGATGAATATCTTAAACCACCATCCACAAGAAATGAATGGAAACGCTATGCTGAACAATTTGAAATGAAATGGCAATTTCCACATGCTGTGGGAGCGATTGATGGGAAACATGTCAACATACGTGCACCTCCAAACTCTGGCTCAGAGCGCTTTAACTTTTATCCTTGTTTTATTAGGTATTGCTGATGCAAATGTTAGGTTTATTTCACTTGACTTTGGTTCTCCTGGAAGTCAGTCAGAGGGGGGAACATTCAAAGATGGTAAACTAAAAGACACATGTAAGTCAGATATTTTCTCGCCAGCCTCTGAATTACACAACTGTGGTATATCATTGCCTTACTTTTCGTTAGGCGAGGATGCTTTTGCACTTGATGTTATTCTGATGAAGCCATTTCCGCATAGAAGTGCCATGGGTGATGAGAAGATATTTAATTATAGACTCTCTAGGGCCAGACGTATAGTAGAAAATGCATTTGGCTTACTTTGTGCTAAATTTAGAGTGCTACTGAAGACTCTTGAGCTAGATGTGTCAAATGCAATGCAAGTTGTCAGAGCTTGTTTAGCTCTACACAATTTTCTGTTAACCAGAAAAGACCAGTTTTATTCACCATCAGGCTTTCTTGACACTGAGGATGACCCAGGCAATGTGATACCAGGTAAATGGAGGGATAATATATATGGTGATGTGTGCACCCTGAGACCAGATCCAAGCACCCGCCCTTCAACAGCAAGAGCAAGAGATGTCCATGACAATCTGAAAGAGTACTTCTTTGGTGAAGGAGCTGTTCATTTTCAGTGGGCTATGACTGATTAGCCCACTGAAGTGGAGTGAAAAGTGGAAAGTTTACATAGTGGACTAGTAAACTACAAACACTGAATGTGTATAGCCCAATGCACCATTTATTTTAATATTTCCTACTAAATGGTGCCAATTAAACAAGAGAAAACAATATAACATGCGGGATGATTCTTTTAAAGCAGTAAAGCCAACATACTTTGATCTAAACATGCAAAGCGAGGTAGAGTTCTGCTTTGCACTATGGTTTCATACACTTCAATCCTGTAATCCCAAATTAGTTAAAATGTTTTCTGATTCGAATTTTTTACAAGCTCAGAGTTTTCGTGTCGAGAACAAATACTTTTAAAATACGAGATGATCATGCATAACGTCTATTTAAAAGGATGATCGCAATTGGGCAGTAAAAGAACCACCATCATTAAAGGCATATTGTTGATGAAATGCAGTCATTGGTCGCTCAGTAGCCTGGAAGATCGCAGACTGTACTACAAATTTTACTTTTCTTTGTAAGTTCTTGTCTCCAAGGTTTCTCAGTGAATTTGCAACGTCTTTGCCAAAAATGTCCCATTCATCTTCAACTTCCTCTTTAGATGATGCTTGAACCAGGTCCTTTTGTGCATTTGCTGCTGTTTCTAAAAAAGAGTTATCGCCAGATTTTTCCTCTTTCCACTTGAGCTTGCAACACTCTCTGTTGCACTAGTGGTAACTGGGTCATTACAAGAGTTTTTCCTCTTGCTACCTGAGCTTGCAACACTCTGAAAACTCTCTGTTTCTGTGGCAGTATCCAGGTTATCATCCACAACATGATAATCTTCAAACTCTTCTACATTAGTCATAGTTTTATGTTTAGCGCATATAACCTCATCCAAGAAACTGCATTGTTCAAAAAATTTCCACTTTGAAACGTAGATATCTTTTACACCAGTGCCAGTTCCCTTACTCTTCTTGATTTTACGCACCTCCTCGCGGTAAAATATTCGTAAACTTTGTATTTTTGCTGTAAAAATAAATAGGAGTAGACTTAAGTTGACACTTGACAGCTATGAATATTGCTCTCCAGAATGACAAGAATCGACTTACATATGTAAGGTTAAGTAATTTTTTATCATAGATATCGAAATATCATGTAACCTTAAAAGGAATATTTGATTAAGAGTGTATTTAGTTTAAGAAACAACAAAAACATTGACCTTACCTTTAATGGCGGGAAGCTCTACGTCTGGCCAATCTTCTCTTAGTATGGCAAGAATCTCTTCGTGTTCCTTGTTTTTCGTATTACGGTTCTTATATTTCTCGCTGCGACTATTCCACAAACTTTCCCTATCTCGCACTGACTCTAGTAATAAGGAAACAAGTGCGTCTTTCCATCTACAAGAGGTACTCGAGGAAGCCGCCATGCTGGATGCGTAAATGTTAGGGACTTTAGGGACTGGGTTCTACAGATGACGTTGAAAAAATTATCACATTTTATGTGGCGTCTCGTCTACACGGAAAATTTTTTTATTTGGCAATTTTTATTTGCCACATAAAAACTAACACGCCAGCTTTTCAACAAATGCAGTTGACTCATAAAAATTGGTCATTTTTCATCATCTACACGGGCAAACAAAAATTGCCACCTAAAAATTGTCATATAAAAACTGCTCGTGTAGACGGGGCTTTAGATGTGAGACTTGTCAATTCTCCTAACTCTATAAAGGTATCAGGCGTAGCTGAACTGGGGCTCAAAGATCACAGATCGGTGTATGGCCTTTCTAACAAAGGCGTTAAACATCACGAGGCAAGGACTATTACCTGCGGAAGTAGTAAGCAATTAAGTGTAGAGGAGCTTAAGGCGGACATGCGTGACATAACATGGTCTGAAACTCAGGTGGCACCAACACGTGATCTGTACTTAAAATGGAAAGAAAGGTTTATGAAAATAATCGACAAACACCTCCCTGTGAAAAGGATTAGAGTAAGGAAGAATGATGTCCCGTATATGAATGCAGAGTGGAAGGCAGCAATAAGAAAGAAAAGGAAGTTTGAAAAGAAATTCAGCAAAGACAGAACCACAGAGTCATGGTAACTTATGAAGACCTGGGGAAACTAGGTCACACGACTAAGAAGGAAGGCGATTAAAGATTACTGAAATGGGATATCAGATAAACTGGATGAGAATCCTAAGAAATTCTTTGGAACATTTATGCCCTTTATCAGCTCAAATTGTGCTGAGGATAAGAATTCGGCTAATATTTCTCTGAACATCCAAGGACTACTATAACAGAAAAAGCAGATAGTTGCAGAGGAATTCACACGTTACTTTGCAACAATCGCAGACAAAATTGGGGGAATGGAGGCGGCATGCTTGACTGAGAAAAATTGTTACAGACACCCCGGGGTAAGGGCAATAAGATACAGACAGATGCCAAGTATGTTTAACTTCAGGAGCATTAGTAGAGAGGAAGTTCTGGATGCCCTTCGGGGTATGAACCCGCATAAAGCAACAGGGTTTGATGGGTTGTCCCCCAGAATGCTTGAGTTGGTAGCAGATGAGATTGCACAACCCTTAACGGTGATATTTAATAAAGTAACTCAAGAGAGTGAATGGCCTATGGAGTGAAAAAGAGGGGAATGTATACCAGTGTACAAGAAAGAAGACCCCCAAAACGTAGCCAATTACAGACCAGTAACTTTACTACTCGCAGTAGACAAGATCTTTGAACAATTGCTCTGCTATCAATTGAGAGATAAGTTTGAAACTATATTTGACAACTCAACTGATGTCAGCATATCGAAAGCGGTACAGTTGTGAAACAACTTTGATACGACTGGTAATAACAATAGTATTTCTTATAAGGCGTTATTTACAATAACAGATCAATAGCGCTTTACAACTGATATCTCTAAATATT